CTCCTTAGAAGAGAGAGATGGGGACAACTACGAGGATTCCAAGTCGCGTTGTTTATATAGGAGGCAGAAAAAGCGAACGACTTTATTTTGAGGGTTTTATATTATATTTACTTTTCTTGTAGTTTCTTTCTTTGTCTCCCTTGTGTGTCTTATTTTTATTTCGTTTTTGCCCCTTAACTCCTTCTCTTTGTAATCTTTTTTGTTTTGTTTAGTTTGATCTCTTTGTAATCTTACCATACGTTAGTATTTTATCACTATTTATACATTTTTTTTGGTAATTTTGTTTTCATATAAATACTAGATTAGGGTATTAAATTGTAAATTAATAAAAATAAAAAGTTTTGGGACTAAATTATTATTTTTAAAAATACAAGGTCGAAATTAGGAGAAACTGAAAAAGCTGGAATCGGTTTAGCGTTTCTTGTCAGCTTCCTTTTCCCATTTGATTTTTTTCTTATTTGCAAATTGAATTCAATGTTCCCTTTTTTTTTTATCATAATATTTAATAGGAAATTAATGAATCCGCGTCAGGGTGGGTCGTCACTATACCAAACAGTCGCCGCGTATTTTTGACTGCGGCAAAACCGCGAAATTTGCTTGAAAAGTAAGCGTTTACTTTAAGCATATTTCTCGATGAAATGACTGGGTTTACTTTAAGCATCGACTTTTTTGGACTTGTTTTTAAGACTTTAGGACTTTTTATTTGATTGTAACGTATGGGTTTACTTTCTGGAAGAATTTAATATTTTCAAATTTAATTAATAAACACATGACACATTTTATTATGAATCTGTTTCAACACATTAGTCATTATAATTGTCAATTGATTTATATAAGGTCAGATATGCTTTTCAATCTAGAAATTTGAGACTAGTAAATTTTCAATATTTAAAGATATACTTTTATTTCATTATTATCATAAATTTAAAACCAATCTTAAATTTTTATTAGTTTCTATATATCTAATCTAAAATTTTATATTAGAAAAAAAAATTGAATTAATATGATGTCCAAATTAGTGATTCGAATTTTAAATTTGTATATCAATCAAGACTTATTTATAGTCTTTTCTAAGATAAGAAAAATAGCTCATGTCATAATTTGGATCTATACGATACAATACATATCAAGCACCGGGAATTCATAGAAGATAATCCAAAACTATTTCATCTATTATCTGCTCATTAGTGCAAAATAAAGAGAAAAGCTTTGAAGAAGAAATCTTATTGTTATTGATTCATTTCGACTTAACTTTTACAATGAAGCTCAATGTCTCTTTTATATATAAACAGAGTTAGGTTTAGCTCAGGATACACACTGTAATCGTCTGACAAGTGTCAGGTCTCTGTCTTGACCAAAGGATAAGAGAGCCGGTAACGGTTCGCCAGTACCAAGCCCCTTTCCGTACGCCTTGCTATCTTCTCTCCTTCTGGAAGTCTGTTTTTGTCTTTACCCGAACACTCAGAAGACCGTTGGAGACTTGGTTTGAATGTCGATTTCATCGTGGGCTTGGGCTCGTGGGCCTGATCCTCTGTTAAGTTGAAACCCTCTGTTTTGGTTGGAGGGTTTGGCTTTGTTCTAACATC